CGCCGGCCGACAGGGCGGCGATGCGCCTCTCGAGCTCGCGGTTCTCGGCGGCAATCTCCTCGCTCTGCTGCGTCACGTCGGCGAGGCGGTGGCGCAGCGCCTCGATGTCGCGCGCCGCCTCCTCGGACGCCGCGGCGCCGCCGTCCTCGGCGGGGTTGAGCTGGCCCGAGCGCAGCGCCGCCACCTCGGACTGGAGCTGGGCGTTTTCCGTCTTGTTCTTTGTCAGCTCGTCCTTCATCCTGCGCAGCATCTTTTCGGTGCCCTTGACAAACTGGACCGCCGTCTGGTAGTCGTTTTCCAGCTGCGCCATCCGCTCCTTGTACGAGGCCGTCGTCTCGGCGAGCTCGTCTTCGGCGCGGGTGGCGCGCTCCTGGGCCTCGGCGAGGGCGGCGCTGTCGGCGCCCGCGACGCGCGACGCCCGCCGCGACGCCTGGTGCTCGAGCTCGCGGGTGAGCTCCTCGACGCGGCTCTCCGAGTCCTGGAGGCGGTGCTCGGCGTCCTGGACCTCGCGGGTGCGCGCGTCGATCTCGTCCTCGAGCTCGCGGATGCGGCGGTCGGCGTAGCCCGACTTGACGCTGAGCTCGTCGTCGTTGGGCACCGAGACGCCGCGGTCGGCCATGAACTGCTTGAGCAGGCTCGCCTTGACCTGGGCGGCCTCGACGGCGCGGCTGCGGTCGCGCAGCTCAATGTCCTTGGAGCCGGCCGTGTCCTTGAGCCGCGCCACCTCCTGCAGCGCCACGGTCAGCTGGCTGCGCATCGCGCTCAGCTCGGTGCGCAGCGCGGCGTGCTGCTTTTCCAGGGCCAGGTTGCGCTCCCGCATCTCCTGGAGCGCCGCCGAGTGCGAGTCGGCCGCCTGCCTGGCCTGGCCGTGCAGCTCGCGCAGCGACTCGGCCTCTTCCTCGAGCGCGCGCATCTTGTCCTCGACGTGGGACGGAACGCCGTCCGCGCCGCTGCCGAGGTCGCGGGAAGCGTTGAGCTGCTGTTGCTGCTGCTGCTGCTGCGCCAGCAGGGCCGCGAGACCGCCAGAGGCCGCGGCGCGGTGCGTCTCGGCCTCGTGCCGGTGCTGGGACAGGAGCGTCTCGAGCTCGGCCGAGCGAGAAGAGTGGGCGTAGGCCTCCTGCGCCTTGGCCTCGAGCTGCGCCTGTAGCTCGGCAATGGTGGCGGCGTGCTGCTGCGCCAGGCCCCGCTGCTCGGCGTGCTGGCGCTCGTGCNCTGCNGCGCGCCTCGCGCGCGTGGCGGCGGCGGCGCGTCGGCGGCGGCGCGGCGGACGGTGGTCGGACGGTCGGTCGGT